GAAATTGTCTTCCCAGGAGTGCTGTTGATCAATTAATTCCCAGATAAAAATTTTAATCCATAAACTTGCTTGTTTAGTGCGAGGATGCGACGATTTAGGCCCATAAGTCTCGGTTTTTTACGTTCTCACAAGTGTTCCGCGCCCTCGTCTCGTCGTTTTTTTTTTTTTATTTTTTTTTTTTTAGACCACTTGAGGAAAAATGCAGAGATTTGTTCAAAAATTTTCCTAACCTAGGCCAGCTTGTATCACGCTTATATTTGCCATTTTGGGGGAAAAAAATGATCATGTTTTCAGATCGGATCTAAATTTCATTCAATGCATTCTTTTTTTTGTAATTGGGTTAACGTTGTTGGTATTCTGCCGAAGTAATCTTTTTTTTTTTTTTTTTTTTTTTTTTTTTCATAAACAAAAGGGCTTTGAGTCCGCATTAATTGTACGCTATCAACCAAGAGTCCAATAAACATGATCTTAGTTAAACAAATTCCCCTTAATGCCAATTTTGAAAAAATCGTAAGACGATATTCGTCAAATATCTCTCGTCGTTGTGTTTAGATATATTGAATAGGTCCTCGCTCGTCTTGACTAATTATTTTCGTATTTTAATATGATGGGGGTGGTGGCATCGTATTCGGCTCAAGCTACTACATGTAATTGTTATTATTAATATAATTATTATTATTATTATTATTTTTTTTTTTTTTACTAGAGGTTGAGTGACTTGATGAAATGACTGACAATCTAAGTGTGATTGACTACTGCAATTTATCTTATTAGTGACAAGGTCGCACAATGGTCTTTGCTTCGGTATCGTTATGAATTGTAAGCTGAAGAGACGTGGACGTCTATGTTACACGAATACATATTAGCTACTACTGTTGTTAATGACAAAAAAACAAAAAACAAAAAAAAAAAAACAAAAAAAGACAAAAGAAACTGTTTGGTAAATTAATTTTTTGTTTTTTTTGTTTTTTTTACACCACGTTTTTATACCTTTTGTCCTCAAAGTTTTTTTAACTTGTATCATCTCATTCTTAAAGATAATAACCAGAAATTAATTTCATTTTTATTGCATGCATTTTAATAATGCACTCTTACGGACTATGTGTTATCGCGAATATTAATTTCATCCGATAAACCAGTCAATCTTGATATTAAGTATTATCTAACCAGTAAATTACAGCAAAGTATCTTCGGTTCGGGTATCCGCTTCTTCATAGAGCGTAAAGTAAAGTGGCATCAATCGTTTATATTGAGTGAATTTCCTATCAAATGCTAATCACAAGAACATGCATACTTATATGTAACATGTAACTGCTACTGAGGCAATATAATCAACGATAGTTTTTCTGCACTGTCCAAATGAAGAGGTTCTTCTTATTACATTCCAAGAAATCGCATCAAATACCGAATCGTACCGAATTTCAAATGTATATTAAATGGAAATTTAAACCGTCTGAAATGCGGTAAGCAAAGGTGTTGTTGGTGGATTTGAGCCATTTTCAAATTCGAAGGCGATTTTGTTCATTTTTTGCTACAGATTGGTTCTGGACGTTCAAACTGTTTGAATCAAGAAAATTAAATTATGGCGCATTATAAAATTAGGTGTAGGCATGGCCGATATTTGAAATTTTTTTTGCATCTGCACTCTAGCATCTGCTGTGGTATGTGAGTTTGTGTGAAAGACTACGCAGGCGGACAGATGGACGGATACTTAAAACGAGATCCAGAACTTGATGCTTATCAGAAATATATATGATTGATGGGACTTTGAAGAGCTGGTTGCTAAAAATGTTTCATAAAAATGAATAAAATATGAATATACCCCTCATGATATCCGGAGAGATGAATATAATAATAATAATAATGATAAATTAACAGCAATGCGTCATTATTATTTACTTAAATGGGAATTTTGATGGAAACAACAATGTATCCTCTTCATGCAATCGTTAAAATATTATTAAAATGATATTAAACGTCATTTTTTTACACCTTAACTCGTCATCATTGATACTAAATTGTTACGAGTTTAAGTTAAACTATTTTAATTATTATAACGCCATTAACATTGCGCTTGATTGCCGGCGTTAAATAATCGATTCAATTATCTGTGAAATGTTGAGACAAAGAAACATTATATACCTTCGATTATATTACTTTAGTTCGATTTTTTTTTGCTTTTTTTTTTTTTTTCAAATTTTGATAATCATTTGTAAAATAAATAAAACATTTCAAGTGTGTCCGTTTACGAATCTGACGCCGCCTGTGTTTTAAGCGAGTTTTTACAACAAATTGATGCTGTAAGTTATAATACATTGTTTGCTTATTGGTGGTGACGGTAATAATGATGATCATGTTAAAGGAAGGAAGGGTGGAGGAGGGGGGTGTTGAAATTTATGTAAATAAAACGTGAGAGATATCACAGTCAATGAGCGCCATTAGTACATAGTAATAAAGAAATATTCGTAGAATTTTTGCAAAACTTTTTTTCATTCATTTTTAATAATTTCAACATTTTTTTTGTTTTT